CGCCTGAGCGAGGAGGGTATCGGAAAACCATACTATTTACATGGTTTCGTGCCCCTCCCACCCCTCCAGGGAGGCCCCGCCTGAGCGAGGAGGGTATCGGAATACCATACTATTTACATGGTTTCGTGCCCCTCCCACACCTCCAGGGAGGCCCCGCCTGAGCGAGGAGGGTATCGGAAACCATACTATTTACATGGTTTCGTGCCCCTCCCACCCCTCCAGGGAGGCCCCGCCTGAGCGAGGAGGGTATCGGAAAACCATACTATTTACATGGTTTCGTGCCCCTCCCACCCCTCCAGGGAGGCCCCGCCTGAGCGAGGAGGGTATCGGAAACCATACTATTTACATGGTTTCGTGCCCCTCCCACCCCTCCAGGGAGGCCCCGCCTGAGCGAGGAGGGTATCGGAAACCATACTATTTACATGGTTTCGTGCCCCTCCCACCCCTCCAGGGAGGCCCCGCCTGAGCGAGGAGGGTATCGGAAAACCATACTATTTACATGGTTTCGTGCCCCTCCCACCCCTCCAGGGAGGCCCCGCCTGAGCGAGGAGGGTATCGGAAAACCATACTATTTACATGGTTTCGTGCCCCTCCCACCCCTCCAGGGAGGCCCCGCCTGAGCGAGGAGGGTATCCGAAAACCATACTATTTACATTTTTCGTGCCCCTCCCACCTCTCCAGGGAGGCCCCGCCTGAGCGAGGAGGGTATCGGAAAACCATACTATTTACATGGTTTCGTGCCCCTCCCACCCCTGCAGGGAGGCCCCGCCTGAGCGAGGAGGGTATCCGAAAACCATACTATTTACATGGTTTCGTGCCCCTCCCACCCTCCAGGGAGGCCCCGCCTGAGCGAGGAGGGTATCCGAAACCATACTATTTACATGGTTTCGTGCCCCTCCCACCCTCCAGGGAGGCCCCGCCTGAGCGAGGAGGGTATCGGAAAACCATACTATTTACATGTTTCGTGCCCCTCCCACCCCTCCAGGGAGGCCCCGCCTGAGCGAGGAGGGTATCGGAAACCATACTATTTACATGGTTTCGTGCCCCTCCCACCCCTCCAGGGAGGCCCCGCCTGAGCGAGGAGGGTATCCGAAAACCATACTGTTTACATGGTTTCGTGCCCCTCCCACCTCTCCAGCCCCGCCTGAGCGAGGAGGGTATCCGAAAACCATACTATTTTCATGGATTCGTGCCCCCCCCGCTCCTGCAGGGAGGCCCCGCCTGAGCGAGGAGGGTATCGGAAAACCATGCTATTTACATGGTTTCGTGCCCCTCCCACCCCTCCAGGGAGGCCCCGCCTGAGCGAGGAGGGTATCCGAAAACCATACTATTTAGATGGTTTCGTGCCCCTCCCACCCCTCCAGGGAGGCCCCGCCTGAGCGAGGAGGGTATCCGAAAACCATACAATTTACATGGTTTCGTGCCCCTCCCACACCTCCAGGGAGGCCCCGCGTGAGCGAGGAGGGTATCCGAAAACCATACTGTTTACATGGTTTCGTGCCCCTCCCACCCCTCCAGGGAGGCCCAGCCTGAGCGAGGAGGGTATCGGAAAACCATACTATTTACACTGTTTCGTGCCCCTCCCACTCCTCCAGAGAGGCCGCGCTTGACCGAGGAGGGTCGCGGCAAGCATTACTCTTCGCCAGGTTTCGTAGCCGTCCCCCCTTCCAGCGGGGCCCCGCCAAAGCGAGGAGGGCATCAAGAAAATGGGTCCCGCGAAACCGTTAATCTCTTTATGTGGGGAACTCCGTTAGCATAATTTTTTTTTGGGGGGTCAATCGGGGCTCTCAGAGTTATGTGTGTAAGTGTTCTGTGTGTAAGTCGGTCGGCGCTTTGGACGAGCAGTACCGCGCTCGGGCGGCGGCAGAGAGGGCGACCCTGCAGTTGGCAGCACCCACCTGCGGCGCGCAGGCGCGCGAAGCACTAATTGGGGAGACAAGGCGCGGGCGGGCGGGGCCTCAGGCGGCCGGAGGGTGCGGAGTACAGGTGGTGCCGAAGATCTTGCACAGGAAAGGGTACGCCATGGACAGGAGCCGGGGGCGAAATCCCGGAAGGAGAGTGAGTTGTTGTTGCCGTCAATGGCGCGCCAGGAACACCATCCTCGAGTGCTGCGTGAGGAGGGCCGTGGCCATGTCAACGTCCATGAGGTAAAGGAGGACCAGGTAGGCGAAGTGCGCCAGGTGCCACCGACTGGTAAGGAGAGGCCCAAGAGATGAGGATGACCACGAAGTCGATGCGCAACGTTGTGTCACCGGGTGGTCAGTAGCGGCCTGGGGTGGTAGTCCAATCCACGTCCAGGTAGCAGCCACGAGGTTCGGCATGAAAGCCGACTGTGTCCGCCTGCCGTGGGACACACACACACACACACACGCACGCACCCACGCACGCACGCACGCACTCACCCACACACACACACACTTTCACACACACACACACACTCACACACTCACACACTCACACACTCACACACACACACACATACACACACACACACACACGCTCTCACACACACACACACACACACACACACACACACACACACACACACACACACACACACACACACACACACACACACACACACACACACGCCGTAGCACTTGTGGACCTGGCCGCACGTGCGGCCTGCCTCTGCCGCGCTGCGACTTAACAAGAAAATGGTGCGTGGGGGGTCGGGGATGGGGGGGCGCACAACGCAAGCGGAGAGGAAGACGGGAGGCGGGAGGAGCCAGGCGGGAGAAGAAGGCGGGAGGAGGAGGCGGGAGGAGGAGGAGGAGGAGGAGGAGGAGGAGGAGGAGGAGGAGGAGGAGAAGGACTGGAGACCGCAGTGCTCTATTCAAATCGAATGTTCAACCAAGGAGGGTTGGGAAATGGGAAAAGATGGTGTGTGTGAGTGTGTGCGTGTGTGTGTGAGTGTGTGTGTGTGTGTGTGTGCGTGCGTGCGTGCGTGTGTGTGTGTGTGTGTGTGTGTGTGTGTGTGTGTGTGTGTGTGTGTGTGTGTGTGTGTGTGTGTGTGTGTGTGTGTGTGTCTGTGTGTGTGTGTGTGTGTGGGGTGGGTGGGTGGGTGGGGGGGGCGCGCGCGCCCTGCAGTTGGGTCGGGCCTGTCCCCTTACAGGGGGCATTCGGTGCGAAACGTTAAAAATATTTCAGAATATTACACCATAAGATAAACAAACTACTAACATACCAAAAATACTAAAACAGATAGTCCCCCGACAATGTTTGGACTATCTTGGAACATTATCCCCTGTGGACGGGCACGCCCGCCTTGACCCGAGGGAGGAGGCCTGCTTCTCTCGAGCCGCGCCCAGATAGCCGCGGCGGCGGGGCCCCCCGCGAGAGTCCAGGCCTCGCGCGCGCCAGCCCGACCTGGCTGTCGGGGGCCCTTGCTCGGGACAAGGGGGCTCGGGTCGGGCGTGTCCTCCCTCGGGCGGCTTTCCTGGACGAGCAGTCACAAAATAGCCCAACAAAAAAGATGCCAGCAATTGCCCCAAAAAAGAAGCCAGACACCGTCCCCAGACTATCTTTTGACTATGTTTGAACAATCCTCTTGTAGAGGGACGGGCCCGACTTAAGAAGACGAGGCGCGTGCCGCTCCTCGGCCCTCCGTCTGCCCTCTCCTCCTCCAGCCTCGCCTCGTCTCGTCCGCCCCCTTCTCCGTCTGCCCTGCTTCTTTCCAGCCCTCCCCTACGGTCGGGTCCGTTTTATCGACAGGGCACTGCTGCTCCTCACCTCCCTTATCACAGGTACGTCGTACAAGCACTAGCGACAGGCTCTAACTTCCAGGTCTATGAAGCATACGAGACGCTGAGGCGTGCGCGGGGGTCTGGGGGGTACTCAGTGCTTGCAGCGTCTTCTACGTCAGTCTTTACACCTTCGTCTGCAGTGTTTGAACACTGGTATTGCAATTTTGAAGCCTTCACATTCCATGTTGAAGCGTTCGTTTTAGTGTTTGCACGCCAGCCCGCGCACTCCCAAGGCGCTGCCAGGACTGCGGCGGACGCCGCGCCCTTGCGCCCCTTGGGAGCGCAGAGGGGCACAGCCAAAACGCATCATGAGGATGCGCGGCAGGGCCTCGGACGGCCACGTTGCCGTACTTCGAGAGGGGCTGGCCGGCGAGAGGCGCCAAGGATGAGAGCCGAAGGGGGGCAAGGATTCTGTTGCTCCCATCGCACTTCACGACCACATCCCAGAAATAACTTCGAGCGCCCCGAAGGGTATCGAAGCAGTGTCGAACGAGTATCGCCTCCCAGGGCCTGACCCGTGAAAACCCCCAGGTGTCGGTATTTTCCGGGTGCTCGGGATTCTTCCTGGTGGCCAAGGCTAAAGTAGGTTGGAACATCATGGGGCAGGGATGCAGGGGGTGCCCTCTGAGAGTAGCCAGCCCATCCTGACTGTGCCCTTTGACTGTGGTGGCACGCGCAGATCCGCGCCATGGCCCCACCAGACGTCACGGCCGGGCCACGCAGCTCCGCCCCACGGTCCTGCCAAACGTCCTGGGCTCATGTTGCTCCCGTCGGCACTCGAGGACCACCTCCCAGCAAGAGAATTTCGGGCACCCAGAAGAGCAGACACGTGGGTGCCCTCAAAATTTTGGTATGTTCTGGGTGCTCGACTTTCTTTCTCGCGGTCAAGGCGAAAGTCGCGCCACGATTCGCGCCGGCACCGTCTGAAAATAAGCCAGGATTACAAGCACTCCGGGACGGCGGCGGCGCGAACCGTGACGTGACTGGCGCACTCCGGCCGCCCCCTTCCTCCTCCTCCTCCTCCTCCTCCTCCTCCTCCTCCTCCTCCTCTTCCTCCCCCTCCTCCTCCTGCTGCTCCTCCTCCTCCTCCTCCTCCTCCTCCTCCTCCTTCTTGGTGCTCGACATTCTTCCTCGCGGTCAAGGCCAAAGCAAGCTGGAACACCATAGCCCGTGGCGGGTCGACAAACGCCCCCCGTGCCCCAGAGGCACCCGGCCGCCGCGGCGGGCGCGCGGCCACACGCCGCCCCCCCCCGCCTGCACCACGTCCGCAGCGTGCGTGCGGTTGTGGTACGGGTTGTTCTTGTACGCGTCCTCCCGGGCCCCCTCCTCCTCCCCTCCTATCCCTTTCCCCAACTTCCCTCCTCCTCCCTCCTCCTGCTCCTCCCTCCTCCTCCTCCTGCCCTCCTGCCCCTCTGCCGCTCCTCCTTCTCGACCGCTGGAGCCTTCACACGGGGGAGGGCAGACTGGAACCCCTGGTTCCACAGCTTATCCTGCGTTTCCACCATCCCCCCGCCCGGTCTCCATCCTTTTACTCCTGCTTCTGTTGAATCTCTACCAGCACAGACAAACATCCCCGCGTCCATTCCTGCGCCAGCTCTGTTCTTCCCCCCGCTTCCCTCCATCCTTTCCCATTTCCCTCCTCCCCCTCGCCCTCCCCTCGTACGTCCTCCCTCTCTCCCTCCCTCCCTCCATCCCCGTCTCCTCCCCTCCTTCCCCCGCTCCCCTTCCTCTCTCTACCTCTACGACTGCTCTGTACGAGTGCTGCTCTCCCTTATCCAGTGCTACCGTCTGGCAGTGCCGCCGCCTCTGTTTCTTTTGGCTTGTTTTCTTATTGCAGACGGGGCGGCAGCAAGCTGTGCTATATGTGCGTGCTTCTCGATCGGAACGGTCTCGGTCCTCGAGGCTGGCGTTCCCCGCCGCATGACCGACCACATATCAGGATCGTCGCCCCGCTCCCGTCGTTCAGGTTTGTGCTTTAGTGTGTGTTATATAGTTATATGTATGGTGTTGCTGTTCCTTCTCTCTCTATATATATATCTACATATGTATATACATATATACACATATATAGATATACATATATATATATGTATGTATAGCCCAGGCGCGGGCCACATTACTGCATCCGATTCCTTCCTCGTCGTTGCCGTTGGCCTCCTTTCCCCCTGTTCCCCTCATCCGCCTTCCCCCGGTCCTCCTGCTCCTCCTGCTCCTCCTGCCCGACCCTTCTGCTGCTGCCTCTCCTCGTCTGACTTCCTCATCATCCTGTCCTCCTTCCTGCCCGTCTTTATGCTCATCATCCTCCTTCTCCTCCTACTCCTCCTTCTCCTCCTCCTCCTTCTCCTCCTCCTTGCCCTCCCCCTCCTCTTCCTCCTCCTCCTCCTCCTCCGCATTATCTTCCTCCTCCTTCTCCTCCTCCGTCTCCTCCTCCGCCTCCTCCTCCTCCTCGTCGCCTGTCTGATTGCGAATCGCAAGATGGTTTCATTCTGAGGATCAAGGTCATATGGGGGACCCCAGTCGGCGGATATACCATGATTCAGCACAGTTGGACGGGGTGGGTGGGAATGGCAGGATGTCAGATACAGTGCGAGCGCATCGAGCTGGCCTCCCCCTCTCTTCCGGCGCCCCTCTCTCCTCCTTATCCTGTGTTGTGTTGCTTGTTTGTGTTATCTATCTCCATATATCGTTGTTCGTTCTCTCTCGCTCTCGTTACATACATATATATATATATGTTTGTATGTATGTATACGTCTTCTGACTTCTAGGCGCACATGAATGAATCTATATAAATATATACACATATCTATATCTGTATGTATGTATATATATATAATTATCATTCGAGCGTTTGGGCTGGCGGCCTCAGGTTATCCGATGAGCTGCGTCCAGTATCCCTCTTCCTCCTCCGCCCTATCCCTCTTGTCCCCTCCCCTCCCCCCTCTTTCCACTTCAGCCCTCCTTGTCCCCACCCTGCTTGGGTTTTCTCGCCGCGGGGGCCCGTGAAGGATAAGTAAGAGGAGGTTTCCGCATCTGCGCCGCAGCTCCCATCAGGAGGATAAGTAAGAGGGATTACCATGGAGGAGGGCGAAGAGGCATGTGGAGGGTAAAGGAGAGAAGGGGCAGGAGCAGTGACACCGAGCTCCTCCGCGCAGCGCTGCCGTGCCGTGCGATGGAGCGCCGTACGTGCGAGGACGTGTTCGCACTGCTGTGGCCTGAAGGCGCCGCGGACGACTCCATCCTCCGGATCCTCCTTATTCTTCTGGTAAGGAATCGGACTCTACACACCGACGCTGTTTCCGGCCCTGCATTGAAATTTGCACTGGAGAGCGGATCCTGGTGTATACGGGAGCCTGGTGTATACATGTTTCGTTGCTTCCCATGGGACATCGGGAAACAAGTATACACCACACCACCCCAGCGTCGTCCCCGACCCTCAAAAAGTCCTGGGATTGAGAAACAGCCCTCCACTGGTAATGTATATGTTCCAGTTTCCAATCTTGTGCTCCTACCTATGAGGCGGTAACCCTCCTGGATTTCCGAGGGTGCGCTCGTGTGTGTACCGAAAATCCCTTGGGCGGTGCCTTGGTGGTGTCGCGCCCTGGTGGGAAGCAGACGTAGAGCACACGTGAGACGCGCATGGAACGTTCAATACAAATGGTGCGACAACGCACGTGAAATAAAACATGTACATCCTGCGTTCTGGGCACTCGGCACTCGGCGATGACGAAAATGCGGGATCAACAGGACGGAAGGAGAAGCCGATATTGTCTCTTACTACGAAAAAGACACCAGAAATGTCCTCTAGCGCGCTCGCGAATTTCAGGCAGTCCGCGCGGCTGGCCTTCAGGATGTTGTCCCATCCCCTCGCAGCGGCTCTGATCCAACGGGCGCTTGCACTCGGCGGCGCGACCAGGGGAGGAGCGAGAGGGGGCAGGCCTCCTCAGAAGGCGGCAGGGCTGCTCAGAAGCCCTCCGGCCTTCGGGAGAATCCGCCTCTGTCTTCGGAGGCTCAGCAAGCTGCCCCGAAAGCCAGAGGCCTCCCGAGCCTCTCAGAGGAGGCCCGTCCCCTCCGCGCCTTCCCCCCCCCCTTGGGCTCCTCGCCGCCGATACGCAGCCTGCCCATAGCTGCCCCGATACGCAACACGCAACACGCAGCGTGTTGATACGGGGCTCAACACGGAACTTGCACACGGAGGTCTGGCGCGAGACGTGCCGAACCAACGCGCAACGTTTTAGCACTGACGCTTTGAGCACGGTGCGTGTTCCGTTTCAAACTAGGGCTGACCCGAACATCGTTTGCGAACATGTGCTCCCGAACTGTTTACGAATCGTTCGATCTGAACATCTTTTCTTCCTCTCAATCGAGCGGCCGTGGACAAGGCCCTTGGGGGGCCATGGAATTCGCGAACAGACGGTTCCAAACCGTGGATGGACCGTTTGCGAACATCCAAGCACGAACATGTTTCCCACCCTTCCGAGCACATTACGTGCCATGCCCAGGTCTCAGCACGGGCGTGTCAGACGTGTCAGGGCAGCCTCGCCGTCGCCCGGGCATTCCACGAACGAGCGCCCTGCCGAGGCGCCTGCTCTCGCACACCGTCCCTCCAGGGAGCTCGCTGCCGCCGTGCCGACTCCCGCGGCGTCGGCGGCTTCCGTCGGGGCGCCCGAGGGGCTCACAGCTCGGGGGGTGCTGAAAGGTGCCCCTGGCCAAAGGTGCCCCCTGCTTGCCGCTCCGTTCCGGAGCCCCTCGGGCCCCCCGGGCCTCGTGAGGGGTGCCGCGGAGGCCGCGGGGGCCTCTTTGGAAAATCCCGGGGGGGGCCTTGGGCCAGGGGCACGTCTAGCAATTCCCGAGCACTGCGATTATGTTCGGAAGCAGCACGGGTGGCGAGCGCAGACTACCACGGCGGGCCACGCCTGGGGGGAGGGGGGGGCTGTGTGCCTTGCACCCCTTCTTGCCATCGCTCGGACGTCCATTCCCCGTGCATGTCTCGGCTTCCCGCAGGATGATCCAGGATGCTTCTCAATGATCCCCACCGAGGAGAAGTGCACACGTGAGAGTGGTGCCAAGCCTTATTGAGGCCACTTGGAGCTCAGCATAATCTATCCCCCAAAGGGCCGCTTGGGTTATCCAGTGACCATGAAGAAGCCGTTTGGGCTCTCATGGGGCCGCACTGGAGCTCCAGGAATGCTTAGCCTCCTGGCGGAAACACCAAGTGTCAGCTGCGGGTGGCGAGCTTCAAATATTTCAGGCCTGGGCTTCCTGGGCTCGTCTGTACCCTTGCGATCACTCGCGCAAAATGGCCATGATGCCCTGTCGCGGGCATTCTTGCGGACCGCCCTTCCTGACTTGGAACCAAATGCCGGGAACTCTTACGGCCACGGTCGCCGACAGGCTTGCGACGACATGTACTTGGCGCCAAGGTGGCCCTCTCACAAACTCTCTCGTGGGCCACACCGCACAAGGGCATATGACCTGCCAAGCGGCGGGACCTTCCGACGCGTCACGGGAGTGTCTTCTTCCGCGCGTCGCAATTCCCTCAGGAGTCGGGGCACGAGGTGTCACACATTACGGCCTCCTGTGCGCCTCCCGAGCAGTCGCCAACCAAGGTGCTGGGCTGGCACGGTGGCGGGACTTGCCGCGGGCAGCTGGATATCGGACTCGAATCGTGCAAGGCCGACCGAAGTCGATGTCGTCGGATCGGCTCGCTCGGTCGTACTATCCCACCTTCTGTGGCAACTCAGGGAGCCTCCCATATCGTCCTGCTAGCTCTTGTGAAATCGACGCTAAGCAGCGCTAATCGACACTAATCGACGCCAATCGGCGCTGAATCGACGCCACTCGACTCTAGATCAGCGCTTTCTGATCGATCATTAGACGCTAGCGCACGCTCGTGCACTCGATAGACGGAGCTGCGAGGACATGCAAGGATCCCATGAAATGATGCCAAATGCAACAACGCGACGGCGGCTCCGGCCAAACGCTGTGCCATGTGAGCGGGTAACATGTCGCTCCGCTCCGCGGGGCGGAAGCCTGGCAGAAGCTCGGCCCGTTGACTTGGGCGCCCGAATTATCCGGGGTAGCTCGGGCCTGGGGTAACTCGGGTTTGGATTCCCGACAAAAGAACCCGAGTTAGCCATGACCCGAATTACCCCTGATGATTTGGGGCTCTGGACGCCCGAATTATCCGGGGTAGCTCGGGCCCAGGGCTAACTCGGGTCCCTGCAAGACATCTCCATATGTTGTAGATACGTTTGGATGCGATCGCGCCCCGGCCTCAACGGGAGTTGCTTCGTATCCGGTATGCCCAGAAGAACATGCCATTTTATACATATATATATACATATGAATTTCAGATTCGCTTCCCCGGTCTGCACGGGGGCGCCGTCGTATCCAAACGCTTTTTTCAAACACATCTGAAAATTTGAGGCCGTATCCAAAATGCTTAACGGAAGCATATCTAAACGTATCGAATGTATCCATATTGACGCTGTTGCGGCATACCTAAGTCATATCTACCGATCACTCCTATTCCCCAACATTCATTGTCACAGCTACTCGTCTTGCTCCTCCTCCGCATCCTCCTTCGTTTTCCCCTCATCATCCTCGGTGCCCTCTCAGTAATCCTCCCCTCACTGCTGCTCAGATTATCTCATCATCCGCAACTTTACTACACTCATATGAATCCTCCTCATCCTCCTCCTCCTCCTCCTGCTCCTCATCACCCTCAGCATATTCATATTCATCATCATCCTCGTCCTGATCCTCCTCACTCTTCTTACTCGCTCACCCTTCTCGCTCCCCCTCCGCCTCGTCATCCTTCCTCAGGTAGTGATGGGTGAGGGGGGGGGGCGGCGGGCAGGGGGGGCAGCTGGGAGGAGGGGCGAGGGAAGCAGGAGGGAGAAAGGGCGATGGCAAAGGGTGAGGGAGGAACGAGGAACGATGAGGAAGGGAAAAGGGAATGGGAGAGCAGGGAGGAGCGAAGAAGGGAGCCACGAAGGACAGGGGAGGCGGGTAGGCGACGAGAATGGGAGGGAGTGGTTGAGGGTATGGGGGATTGATGGGGGCGAGGGACGCTGGAGTGACAACGTGAGGGGGAGGAGAGATGGGTCAGTGTTGAGTAGGGATGGAGGGAATGGAGGGAGGGAGCGGGGAGGGAGGAGCTGGAGAGGGGGGGAAAGAGTGGGAGTGAGGAAGGTGCGGGAAGGAGTAGGGAGTCACTGCTAGAGGCAGAAGGGAGTGAGGGAGGATGGTCCCTCACCCCCTCCATAGTTCCCTCCATCCTTGCTCATAATTCGTCTTTCTCTCCCCTCCCTCCTTCCCTCCTCCCTCACTCCCCTCACTCCCGCATTCTATCACTCCCTCCATTATTTTCTCGGTTCCTCCCTACCTCCCTACTACTTCTCGCCTCCCTCCCTCGCCCCTCCCTGCTCTCCCACTCATTTCTCCCTTCCCTTCTTACCCCCCGCTTCTCCCGCACCCTCTGCTCCCGTGTTCTGGAATCCCTCGCTCTCCTGCCTCCTAACTCCCATGACTTCCGCGCTCATTGCTTCCTCGCTCTCCTGCCTCCTGGATCTTTCGCTCTCCTCACTCATTACTTCCCCTCCTTCATCCCGAGGACGTGTGACGAGGCGGCGGAGGAACGAGGAGGCTCAGAGAGGAAGAGAAGGAAGAGTGAAACAAATAAGGAAGATGATGACGATGCTGATGATGACGATGATGAGGATGAGGATGATGAGGAGGAGGAGGTTGAAGAACGTAATGATGCAATGGCTGAGGGGAACTATGAGCAGCGACGGGGGGAGTATAGAGACAGGCGCGGAGCAAGAGGATGGAAGGGACACGATGGCGGATATGGAGTAGGAGGAGCAGCAGCAAGACAAGGACTTGTGACGATGAGTACTGAGACAAAAGAGTGCTAGGATAGAGCGCTGGACTTATAATGAGAAATGCAAGAGATATGGGGTCAGGAGGATGCGAAATCGCATCGAGGAGGGGAGCAGATAATAATGATGATTGGTGATGCATGGCGAGTGACGGAGGGGAAAATGATGGGGGAGGACGAAAGTGAGGACCACAGAGAAGGATGATGGGAGGATGACGGCGAGTAGTGATGAGTAGGAGAGAGGGGAGCGACGATGGTTGATGATATACTGTATTCCGATAGGCGAGATAGGCACTGCATAGCGAGGCCCGACGAGGAAGGGCGGAAAGGAACACGAAGTGTCAGGATGATGACGATGAGCCCATGAGGGAGTCAATGGCAAGGCGCCATGTCTAAATGTAGCCATTTACATCACGTGGCATTCCGTCATCAGTGTGCTCATAGCCGCCGTAACAAAGCATATCTAAACGTATCCATTAGTATCCATACATCACGCCGTAGCTAAACATATGAAGGACGGAGGTTGCCCGTATCTTAAACAAAGGA